AAATTTTACTGTTATAATTACTACTTTAATTCAAAACAGCAATGATCCTATAGTAAGGATATGCATCGCTCCCGGTTCCAAGCGCTACTATACGCAAAAATGTTATAGATTTGGTAGGCAAGCGCCAATAACAACTTAGCATTGAAATGAATTAGCGAATAGCAGAAATGACTTTTTTATTTACAAGCTCAAAACATGCTGCAAAAAAAAAACTTGCGCGTCCGCTTTAACGCATTGGTAGATGCTGGGTTTTAAGTTAATTTTAGGCGTAAACGTCAAATCAGTATTGAGTATTAGCTGCCGATATATTCAGCGCCAAAAATAAGCACAAAAGCACAAAATGACGCTGAGTAGAATGCTGTGAGAGGACTTGGCAGATAAAAAAATTAACGGAAACTGTCTGGAGATCCAAGATAGCCGATTTAGGCAACCAGACTCTTCGTTAGATAAGTGGCATGCAGTATATTATTGCGATCATGCAAAGAAATAAAATTCGGCGTGCAGGACATGATGCTGGCCACGGCATCAGCTAAAGAAAGTGTACGACAACTTGCTCAGCTTCTAAGGAGTTGGTACACATCCAGTAAACATGCTGGGGGTACTAACTGGCGGTATTCAGCTCAGGACCGAAGGGCCTAACTTGCATACGTCGATGGCATCGAAACCCTGCGATGGCTGTCCAGGAAGCCTTAGCAATTTCTGCAACGCAATGTGGCAAAAAATTAAAAGTGTTATTTCAAGCATTTCGACTGTGCTCGTGATTACTGGCTTTCAATGCGGTATTTACTCAAAGTGAAACGAAGTACATATGTGCGATTATTGCATGATTAGTGCTACTTGTAGGTGATGGTTGTTAAGGGAATTGCAATTCTCAGCTTGCTTGCCGCCTGTGCTTACACGCAGCAACAGAACCTACCTCCTTTCCTGCAAGGTGCTCCACAAAATGTTGTCACAGAATTTCAACAGTTGCTGTCGGGTGCAGGCCAACGAACGGACAGCCAAATGGAACAGGAAATTGAGTCTTGGGCTAATCGACAGAGCGCCCAGATTCAGGCATGTGGCTAGTCAAATTTTGTCACATAATTCTTTATCTCTTAAGTTCAGAAATTCTTTATAAAATCTGTTGTTTGCAGTCAGCGTTCCAACAGTTTAAACAACAGATGGTAGGAGCAATACAGCAAGCTGAGGCACAGCACCAAGCAGCGAAGGCTAAACTTTCGGCAGCGGCGCTGGACGCCGATACCAAACTGACAGCAATCGCTAAAAATCCCTCACTGACTGGGATGCAGAAGCAGCAGCAAGTCCAGCAAATAATCAACTGTAAGCTAGTATTTTAAACACTTTTTTCACTTAACAGTCCATGGAAACATCCGCTGCATCTTAACTAATAAAGCATTACAATTCTGAGAGACCATATAAAAAGTGTTCTTTTCTAGAAAAATAAATAGCAGTCCAATACTGCTCAGTAATGTTAAACCTGTTATTATTTGGTAAGTACCAACGTAACCTTTCGCTGGCGTGGTTGTCGATGGCTCCTTTTTTGACCGTTACTTAAAACCAAGCCGAAAGTGGGCTTGATTACCTGGCATGTGCAGTACCATTTACAGTGTAATAAATGAGCCGTAGACGGATTGGTTATCTAAGAATAAAGCAAACATCATCATCAGTGCTCGTCAGAAAAATGTCCGAGGTACCTGTTCCGAAAATTCTTCACTAGATAATAAGCAGTAGCGCATCTGTCACAAAGGAAAAGTGTTTTCTTTACTGCTGAGCCCATTGCTTTTTGAGCTGGTATTTTTTCTCAAATTCCTTCAGGTGCATCATCTTGCTAGTTGGAGAATTATGTAATTTAGTCCAACCCTGAATTTTTGTTGCATGTGAAGATTTCTCTCAAATTATGCGAGAAAGAAGTTTCTCTCAACCCATACTTTCAATTTTTTGAATTATTCAGTAGAAAGAAAACATTCAGATAGTTGTATTTGAAAGAAATTCTGTGCGCTTTAGTGCATGACTGTCTTTTATCATTACAACACTTTTACCATTCCCAAAAAAAGTCGAGCAAGGTCAGCTCTATTGGCTGAAGGATGACTATTTAGCAATAAGTGCTGATTAATACTGCGTAATGACTTTGCGTAAAATTACAGCGTTAATGCTCGAAATTTCGGAATGAAAAATTAGGCACACTTATTTTGACTTGATGGGTAATGGACTCTATTAAAATTGCAGTGTTTTCCCGAACATTGTTACTTTTTGAGTTATTGTGCTGTAGTATTCTGTTTGCAGCACTTCCACCGAACATCAAACAGGAGCTACAGACAGCAATGCAGGGCTGAGTGCAGAAAGTCAACAGAATATTGTTGCGGGATTGAACAGAGTTGCTTGGATTTAAATTTTTTCACTTTGCCAATGAATATTTTAAAACTGCGAGATGTAGAAGAATGCTTCACTACTGTATTATATTGATTGCTGAGACTTATGGAGAATGATAAACGTAATAAATTTTGTAAAGTGAAACTGCCCATGATGATAGTGGATGACGAATTGAGAAGAGCAAGTCATTTACAGGAAAAAATTCACCGGTACCAGAAAGAATGCCAAATTTTGTTGTATCTGACCTTATTCAAATTCAAAACACAGGAATGCAGTACACAACAACATGAATCTGTTTGAAAATGCTTTTATTGTATTTTAATAAGCCTTCACTGCGTTAAGCAGAACAGTATGCGGAGAAAAACGTGGTCAGTGATGTAATTTGAAGAGAAAATGATGGCTGTGACAAATAGAGTCATGGAACTACAGATGCTTAGCATGTCTTTTCGCGGCCATATAAATAGTGAAAATTTCTGTCAGATGAGCGGTGTGCAGGAAGTCAGAAAGCAAGAAAGCAAAATCCAATTGGAACAGGACCAACTGCTCGCCTTGTTGAAAAGTACTGAACGTTTCGTATCATTAGCTAGATTCCAGCATAATAAATACCACCTGTTTGGTCTCCGAATTTGTGGCACAAATATTCAAGTAGGTGGTAAGTCTCAACGGAAGGTGTACAGGTCAAAACCGAACAAATGAAAGACGCATCTTGCACGTGGAATTGTCCGGGTAAAATCAACAACAAGAGATTCTAGCACTAATTGTTCAAGCAGTCATCGTATTCTTTGTGCCGCTGAGTGGTGTGCATTCGAGTTCAAGGTAAAGGTCTGAGACATACTTTTGCTGCAACTGTGTTGTGCAGCATTATGTCATGAGTTCAACCCTTCATATTTTTTACTGAGAATATAGACGAAGATGAATGTTGATCTTAAGTTTCTGAACCCATTTATAGCCAGGAATCAGGAGATGATTGTTCCCAATTTTCGTCTTCCTAGCTTCAGCATTCCTGGGACTGAAATATTGTAACATCAATCATAAAGAAACAAATACAAACAGATCTGGTATACCTAATGTACCCTTTTTTTAAAAACTCAGTGAAAGGGGACCGTATGAAGTAAACCAGGTATTTTGAGCTCTCCGCAAAAAAACTGTGATTTTTCTAAAACAGTAGGCCAAAGCATGAAACAGATTCAGTCTAGTCATAGCAGCACTCTGTAACACAACGTTTTCGACGCTTTAATTTTCGGGACCACTTCCTTACTAAGTGAACTAAGTTTCTGTAACATCTCTACTGTTTGTAAGCACTGCCGAGGAACTTGGAACTCCTCAATTTTAAGGCTTTTAAAATGAATGGCTACTAGATTTACTGCGTTGTTCGACGCATAACTGCTTTCTGTTTCTTCCACACAACAGCTATTAACATCAATATATCACAAACGGCATACAGTTCTGTGCGCTAGTTTTTCCCAGTAAATTTTATTAGGTTTTTTTGCCAAAACTAGAGGCACAAAGTGACCTGAAAGTTCGTTTCAGACGCGCAGCTGTTCCCACAGTTAAGAAGCATATCTAGGGAATTTTAGCTTCCCAGCTTTTTCACTTCTGCAATGAGCCACATGGTAGGACAGAAAAGTAGAGACATGAATCTGCTAAATGTATTTCTGCTCGGTAACAGTGACGCAAAAATGAGTAAATCACGTGGTCGCACCGGCTTTTTGCTGTGCTACACCATTTACTTCATTAATTTTGCACATGTCGTTTTTTTCTATGGCTGATGTATTTGTTCAAATTCGACGAGAAATAAAAGCAATTTTACAGCCCTTAAATTGGATACTGAAAGGAAAATTTGAAATAATTGAAACAAGGATGACTAAAAGTAGAAGCACAGAGCTGCTTTGATGCAAATACTTAAAATGCTGTGCTCACCAAACTGTACAAAACAAACGACCATTTTTAATTTTGGATAAAAAATTCCAGACACGTCAGGAGGCAATTTAAGTGAATGTGTTTTCACCTCTTCTTATTTTCCTCCTTCTGTTTTCTTCTATTCGCTTTTGAAAGCAAACGATCCGTGCTAGCGTTTGTTTCAAAATTATGCAAAAACGAAAATGGCTCTTTCTTTCATCCTGGTCTACTTTTCAATGCTACTCAGCACAGCGTCGTTACCATCGCTTGCTCGTTCCAAGAGCATCAAAATAGGCATCTCTGTAGCTATGAAACAATACATTTGCTGGTTCCAATGTCCGCTACTTCGTGCCACCTGTTTTTTGCTCCAACTTTTTCCGATATCTTCGTTTCATTCAAAACGCAGATATGCTGAGTATGTCAAAATTTTCTTTGCGCATTTATCTTTTACTTTGATTCTCTATCTCCAATGATCAAGAACAGGCATGGTTTGAGTCTTCGAAACTTTAGTGTCACTGAAATGTATGTGCTGCACAGTTATGTAATAGAAATCTTCGATTCTTCTCGAAATGTTTGAGCTAAACAGATTAGAATTCGCCTTCTATCACTTTACAAATAGAGCACCCGGCGCAATACTAGGGATAGACTGTTGTTGTGCAGAGCTGCCATAATTTGTCAATAGAATGAAGGACTGGCATGTAGGCGTATAGCTGGAGGAGAGCGGCCTTGAAGATCAGAAGAAAAAGTAAAAGTTCAAAAACCGATTCAAGCATGGATTTTCTGCGGAAATGTTACAAAATTAGCATTCCGCAAGTAGCTTTTGCGTGCAAAACGGTGTTTTGCACCAGCAGCCCCTTGGCAACACTCTTTTCATCCATTGCTTGAGCGGTATGGGATCACATGTTTCACACTTCTTTCGTTCGGTATAGAAGTTACTGTGAAAAAACCGTCATTTGACCAACACATCTTACTTAAAAATATTTACGTAATTCTTATAATTTCTTCTGCAAGAGCTCGTAGCACTGCATTCAACACGGCGGCGCTGAATATGTTTTGATGGAGAATCAGAGACGAAGAAGGAGCTGGTACTTTCATGCACTCGTCAGCATCTGGTTTGGAATAAATGTTGTAATTGCTCAAATGAGCTAGCTTGTTACATAGATTACTGTGGACTGAGCAACTGTGCTGTTCAGCAATAGTCCTCCTCAATAGTTTGGAAAACACGCGACAGTAAGGAAATTGAGCGGTAGTTGCGCAGATCTTCTTACCGCTATTTGTACAAAAAAATTACTACACTACGAATACTGGGGAGACAAGCTGATTGTTGGCGCTAGTTACAGGTGCTGGAATGCTTGCGCATGGTGCGAGTAACGATTTTTTTGAAGTAAATTATCCATGACTATAGTCTCTATCGTTCCTCTTGCCAGTGCCATATTTGCCAGAATACTCATCTTTCTCTCTTCGCTTAGGCTTTTCAATTAACGATCATGTAGATTCAATGGTTAATGTAGATTCGAGCTCAACATGAAGATCTTTTACCGCATTGTCGCTGCTGACCACAGCGAAAGTATAAAGTTAGATAATTTTAAAATTTTAGTAGTACCTGAACAGGGATAAGCCGAGCTGTATTAGTTATTTTCTGTCGACTATAAACTTGGCCCTTTTCTTCTCTCGTATTGAGCAAAATCATTTTTCCATTCCTCTAGATTACAACTTATTCGGTTCTCTGTCGAGCTTCACAAGCGCCGAGAATGCTGCATGATATTCTAATGATTTACTGAAGAAAGCGTAAATTCATCCCTTGACCACAACTTATAGTCAAAAAGCTTAGTTCGACTTGCAGTGGCGTCCCGCGATTTGGCTATGATTCAAAGGATTCGCTACCGTAGATTCAGCGGAAGGGTGTACTGTGGTCACTTTCTTCAGTTTTTATCTTCATTTAATATTATTCCCAATGATGCAACATTTAGTGTGCATTAATATTTTTCGCACAGTTGAGTAATTCTTTCTGCATTACCAACTGTTATTTCATGCCTCAAGCTCAAATGATCTGTAAGAATCCACAGGCAAATAAGTACCAGAGAGGAACAAAATGAAAGGCGCCTTAATAACATGGCTGTTGGTACAGATCTTCTTAGTACTGGGTGATCAGTTCCCAAAACCAACATTTCTGGATCATTTACCAAAAACTGCAAAAGAAGAAGTGGAAAATATACTGTGGTCCAATCGGAACAAGTCAGATTCGCAAGTGGAAGCAGAACTTGAGAAATGGGCCAACACTCAAGGTGGCGCTATCAAGGTTGCTTTTTACTGTTCTTCCATTTTTTTCTGTGAAAATTGAAATTCATTATGCATTCTTTGCTCGATGTCGGCCTTGTTCCCAGATTTTTTCGTGGCTCACATTCAGAAATGCACCTACAAAAGTGCTTCTGTATTTCAAATTCTGCCGTTAGGGTTGCAAAATAACAAATTTGTTGCAGAATATGTAAATTGGTGGAGTAGTATGATCATAAGCGGAATACTTCTTCTTTGACTATTCTAATCTGCGTTCTAAACCACTGGTAAGGAGCGCCGGATGGGTCCATGCGACCATGTATTTTTTCAGTATTTCATGCTCTTGTAAGACCGCTTGGAGTTCCATTAGCTAGAATTTATGGCATACTGGTCTTCTAAGTTTAAAGTTAATTTTACAACTACGTAGTACTTAATCAGGGAACATCCCCTCAAAATTTCAGCTTTCTAGCTTATCTGGTCCCCAAGTCAGCAATTTCTACCTTCAAAAATTTTGGCGGGGCCGTACGTGAAAGCCAGGCACATCCGGAGGCTGAATTTGAAATCTTCAAGTTGTGCGTGGATTGGAGATATCCCCTCAAATTTGAGTCTCCCGGTTTTCTTCATTCTCGAGTTAGCGATTTTCCCACCAAAACTTTTACGCGCTCATATACAGGGCCCAAACGTGCATGAGTGCCGGTACCGTGGTCTTTGGGTAGCAGTTAGCCGAGAAAAACCACTGGCAAAATTTCAAAGCCGAAACCTGCTTGGCTGCCGAGTTGAAGTACCAGGACAGACGCACACACACACATATATACACAGATACACATATGGACATATACATGCAAACATACATGCACAGAGGGGTCGTTTGATTTTGCATCTGCATATGTGTAAAAAACGAGTAAAAAATATTCTGAAAAGGTGGAAAAAGCTAGGCGGAGCGAAAAGGCTGGCTCTCGTTACAAAATTCAGATTAGATTTAAACTCTAAGCTAGAACACCCCTTGGTTACCGGTGCGATTATGCGCTTTAGCATTAAACTTGAAGCAATCAGGTCATCAACTGTATGAATAGTTCTTGCTTTTTTATATGTTTTTGCAGCGCAACGCTGAAGCGCTGTAACAGGCAGCAAGAACGCACACTGCGACGACCCTGTCTGTGTATGTATGCGTGTGCGTATGTTTGGGGTGTGTGTGTGTGTGTTCATTTGTCCGGGTGTTTGTACTCAGTAGACACACAAGTTTTGAAGCTGAAATTTTGCCAGTGTATTCCCTGGCCAAGGATGACCCCAGAAGCTTGATATCGAATGTCAGGTACGCCTACGTCTCGTGTACGGACACATGGAAGTTTTGGCAGGAAGACTGCTAACTTGGGAACGAGGAAAGCTAAAAAACTGGAATTTTAAGGGAATGTTAGCTATTCATGTGTCGCTAAAAGATTTCAGATTCAACTAGTCTAGTGGAGCCTTTTTCGCGTACTAGCAACTTTCTGGGTCGCTGAAGCTGACATCTGCAGCTGATACACCACATAGCTGCACAATTAATTTCCCGAACTTCGAGAGCCAGTATGTCACAAATTTTAGCTGCTTTGATTCCTTGCCGTCTTGTTGCAGCACAAAATAGTGCAAGTATGCATTGACAGCACCGGCTTGCCTGGTGCATTTCAGATTGGGTATTAATTTATGCGTTCACTAGTGCAAATCATCATACAAATTTTGCGTAGAAGAAAGTGAACAATTCCCGTTGAACGATCGTTCTTTGGAAATGAACTATCTATTCACTGAGTAATCTTCCCGCCAAAACTCTTGAGTGCTTGTGAGAATCATGCATACCTAGGAGTTGAATTTGAAATCTTTAAACTGTATTTGGGCAAGGAACATTACGCTAAAATTCCAACTTTCCAGCTTTTCTGGTTACCGAGTTAGCAGTTTTCTCGCCGAGACTTTCACATGTTGGTACGCGGGGCGCAGACCTTTTTAAGGGTAGGTACTGCATCCTGTGTTGGCACTTCGTCGAGAAACTCACAGGCATTTTAGTGCCGAAGGTTGCTCGTTTGCCGAGTTGAAATATTCGGACAGATGCACACACACATAAGCACGCCAAGAGTCGTTACAATGCACTTTTATATTTGCATATATGTAAAAGTGAGTAACCAATTGCACACTTCTCTTACGAAGAATATCATTGGTGACGCCCACTGGTGGGCGCGTCACCAATGATATTCTTCGTAAGAGAAGTATCCCTTGAAATCCAAGGTACCCAGTTTTCTCAATTCCCGAGTTACCCAAATTCCAGCCAAAAAATTTCACGGGGCGTACGTGCAACCACGCGTATTGAGGAGCTGAATTTGATAAATTTAAATTGTAAATGAGTTGGGAACTCTTCCTGAAAGTTTCAGCCTCCCAGCTTCCCTGGTTCCGGAGCTAACCACTTTTCCGCCAAAAATTTTCACGGGGCCGTACGCGGCAACCATTCAAGATGGGGGCTGAATTTGGTAAATTTAAGTTGTAGATGAGTTGGGGAC